TTGCTCTTTTTTGGAAGAAGGGAAAAATGATCCCCTATTAGAGCAATGGAAAGGAGAAAGTAAAAGACATTTCCTGCCAGATGTTTTGCTGCAATTGATCAGGGATAATCAAGGGAGGTTGGAGCGAAATGATCCAGCTCAGAGATATCAGACAAACGCCACATTAACCCCTCCCCCGTCCCCAAACCCCAATTTTTGAGATTTCAAAATGTGTTATTAACTCTCCACAGTCGGCTGCTGATAGCTTTAGATTCGCTCTTTCTTCTCCTCACACATCCCTTCCTGGCCTGGATTTGCTGGCGGTGCACAAGGCAGGTTTCCTCTCCATCTTGTTTCAATAATGATTATTGATGCCTTCTCTTGCACAATAAAAAGCACGTGTGCCCAGACACACACACACCTCGGACTCTTTTCACGTGTGTCTCTGCACATCCTTGGTTTGTGCAGGAACTAAACGCCACCAGTGCTGTGCAGCAAGGAAATACCAGAACTCTCCCCAGAAAATCCAGTGCAGACCCGCTAATAGGCCAAAGGAGCGCCCATGAACTCCTGAAAAGCAGCGAAGTGTGGGACGGGTAACTGAACAGAACCAAAAGGAGCCGGAAAATTTGCATGCAAAGCGCCCAGTGATAGGATTGGGGCTTTCTATTGTCCTAAGAGCATATCTGCCCCTGCTCTGCTACCCTTTTACACTCCCCCTCCCCCACTCAGAGTCCACATGCAACCCAGGGATCAATGCACAGAGGTGTCGAAATCCTCTGACAAACCCCAGGCCTGCTCCGCAACTGCAGCTTCTTCAGCCTTCTCCTGCCTCTTTGCAAGGTCCTCGCTGTCCCCTTTGTTCTTTTCTCTCCCAGCAATCAGCCCCCTGCTAGCTTTACAGAAGTCAAACCATGCTTGGCCTAATTAACAGCAAGCTAGGAGAGAGGGGACAGACAGTGCTCCAGAGGGCAGGCAGTTTTTTGTGCTTTACAGGGTCTGGTTGGGGGCCCAATCCTGCAAGCTTTACTCCCACTGAACTGAATACGCCTTTCGCTTGAGCAAGAGCAGCAGGATTGGGCCCTTATGCCATGCTGTGCAATAGTGGAGTGACGAGAGATTAAATGTTGCTTTCTCAAGGGCTAAGCAAATTAGGGCGAATGGCAGCCACAGGAAACTCTGTTCTAGTCTGGTATTTCCAGGGTGCCCATCCCCAAGGTGTCAAGGGGCCAGATTCGTAAAGGCACAAGCACTTGAAGATGCAGATAGATGCCTAGATGCTCAAAGATGAGAAATCTGTGTGAGTTAGACACCAAGGGCACTTCTGGAAGCCCCTTGGGTGACCATTGGCCGCTTCAGACACTTAAATACCCTTGAAAATCTGTGATGGGTTGTTTTGCTTCCTTCCCTTCCTCTCCCAGGGAGAAATTCCTGTGGAGTTGTAATTCATTAAATCCCCTTTCTACATTGCTTAGGCTTTTACTCCTGCCTGCTGTGCTATGCTCTTGGAGTAGAGCAGGCAAGTGAAGGATTAAGAACATGAGAACGGCCACACTGGGTCAGACCAAAGGTCCATCTAGCCCAGTACCCTGTCTGCCAACAGCAGCTAATGCCAGATGCCCAGAGGGAGTGAACAGAACTGGGAGTCATCACGTGATCCCTCCCCTATTACCTGTTCCCAGCCTCTGACACACATAGGCTGTGTCTAGACTGGCCAGTTTTTCCGCAAAATCATCTGCTTTTGCGGAAAAACTTGCCAGCTGTCTACACTGGCCGCTTGAATTTCCACAAGAACACTGATGATCTCATGTAAGATTGTCGGTGTTCTTGCGGAAATACTGTGCTGCTCCCGTTTGGGCAAAAGCCCTCTTGCGCAAATCATTTGCGCAAGAGGGCCAGTGTAAACAGCACAGTACTGTTTTCCGCAAAAAAGCCCCGATCGTGAAAATGGCGATCGGGACTTTTTTTGCAGAAAACCGCGTCTAGATTGGCCACAGACACTTTTCCGCAAAAAGAGCTTTTGCGGAAAAGCATCCTGCCAATCTAGAAGTGCTTTTCTGAAAATGCTTTTAACGGAAAAGTTTTCCGTTAAAAGCATTTTTGGAAAATCATGCCAGTGTAGACGTAGCCACAGAGCCTAGGGACACTATTCCTGCCCATCCTGGCTAATAGCCATTGATGGACTAGCCTCCATGAATTTATCTAGGTCTTTTCTGAACCTGTTAAAGTCCTGGGCTTCACAGCAAGGAGTTCCACAGGTTGACTGCATATTGTGTGAAGAACTTCCTTTGGTTTGTTTTAAATCTGCCTTGCAATGGAAAGTGGTCACTCCAGCATGCCACCTATGCTAGAATCCGACCCCACACGCCGGCTCTGTTAATGTCTAATTTGCTGACCCGCAAAACCCAGCATGTTAAACTGACAATTTTCTGTTTGAGGAATCTCTGCTGGTGCCATACAATGAGATGCAGCCCCCTTTATAGCAAGGGAAGGGAAGACAGGGCTTTTCCTTACATTTCACTCTGAGGGAGTGTCTAGACTACAGGGTTTTTTGAAAAAACGTCCCCTGCATCTAGACTGCAGCCGCATTCTTTCAAAAGTAAATCAAAAGAACGCAGCAGGTTTTTCAACCGCGGAAAACCTTGTTTTACGAGGAATAACGCCCTTTTTTGAAAGTGCTCTTTCGAAAAAAGACGCTATGCAATGCAAACTAGTCCAGACTGCCTAGGTGCTCTCTTTCGAAAAAACGGCTTGCTTTTTTGAAAGTACTGGTTGTAGTCTAGACGCTTTCGAAAGAGGCTTGCAGTCTAGACATAGCCTGATGGTTAAGAAGTTTATTATTCTACCTAACATCTGCACATCTCCCTGTACCCTTTTGGCTTAGCTTGTTCCTTGTTTTTCTACATTCACACTTTTCAGCCCAGTAAACACAAGAACCTCGGCATCCCAGCAAGACAGCAAAACCTTCTTCACCCTCCCACCATCCATCACAGGGCTGGTCACCCAAAGTTTCTTACCGGCAGCAAGGAATTGCTGCCATTTGTGTATATTTTTCAGAATCCCCATTTGTCCCCCCTTCTCCGACGATGAGTTGTTTGGTGCCTTTGGGTGGGAGCCGTTTGCAGAATCACAGCTCAGCAGCTGGGAGGTTGTTTGCAGTAAGTTACAGCCCAGAATCGCAACTCCAAGCAGACCCAGCTCAGCAGGCAAACAAAGCCAGGTTCTCTGCCTGGGATGTTGGCATTCATAGCAGGAGAGGCGCGGGGGAGTGGGGGAGGGGACAGATGAGTGGCACCAACTTTCTCCCCTCTCTTCCCAGCTGGGAGCGCGGCTCTCCCAGCATCCCCTTGCCCTGCCAAGGCCCTGAGGGACTTGCAGTCCCTGCGACGTCCCAGGAAAGGAGGTGACTGATCAGTTCTCCAGGGCCCCGTGAGGAATTCCCGCCCTGGGGAAGCCCGGCGGAGTGAACTCCAGAAGGGGCCCACTTGCACGTGTGCCGGGTGGGAAGGGTTACTCCGAAGCCTCCCAGAGAGCTCAGCACAAAGGAACTTCCCAGAGGCCTGGATTCCAAGGCCAGAAGGGTCCACTGTGATCAGCACCTCCCATTAGCCACAGCTCAGACACTTGCCCCCAAGCGATTCCCAGGCCAGACCTTGGAGAGAAGCAGCCGGTCTTGATTCAGCAATGGGAAAAATCCATCCTGGTTCCTCAGTCTCGCTGCCAAACATTCTCACCTTATTTCCAGCCTGCATTTGTCTAGCTTCCAGGCCCAGCCTGTGCCCGCTAGCCCCAAGAGCCCGTTCATACTGAGGTGTCCCGCCTGGTGGTACTTACAGACTAGTCGGGTCAGCCTTCGATGGCCCTTTCTCTTACAGCGTGCGTCTGCCTGTCCGTCCCGTCCGCGAGTCTGTTTGTGCAAGAACTCGACAGTAAGAGCCAGGTCCAGCAGCTTCCTCCAGTCACTGAGAACTTTCCATTTCACCTCTTTCAACCGCCTAGTGCTTGCTTGCACCCGTCTTATCCACTGAGCCGGACCGCGCTGGGTCTGACCTGGCCTCGTCAGTGTTTCCACTCGCTCAACGGCAGACTTCACCAGTGATGATTTTAGGTCTTCTTCTAATTGGGACACTCAATAAGGTAGGGCCAAGAAGGATCCCTGTAGGACCCCACTGGAAATATTCCCATTTGAGGTTGGAGTCCCCATTCACAGTGACATTGAGAACCAGCTTTTAATCCATGTAATGACGTCGTGCTAATTTCTAGCTAGTCTGTACTCACGGTGTCGCACACACGGCGTCTAAGTGAAATGGTGCAGCGCTAGCTCCCCTCTGTTCACACCCTGCACAGAGCAGGTGCTAATCTTTATCCAGAACGCACCTCGGGAGTCATGGGAAAGCCGGCAAGTGGCTGATCGCTGACTCTCCGCGTGACGCATGTAGGCAGAGGGCTGCAGGAGTCGTCCACGTGGA